CATGGAGATGGTACTGAATCCACACATCACTTTGGGTAGCGCGGGCATTTTTTAAAAATTTACTCTTCCAATCCGTGAACACAGGACGTCTCCCCATTTATTTGTGTCCTCGTCAATGTCTTCATCGATGTCACAAAGTTTCCAAAGTGCAGTCTTCTACCTCATTGCTTACATTTATTCCTAAGAAATTTATTCTTTCTGATGCTGTTATAAATACAATTGTTTTCTGAATTTCTGTTTCAGAGAGTTCATTATTACTGTGCAGAAATGCTACCGATGTGTGCATATCAACGTACCCTGTGTTTTACTGAATTTGTTTATTAGCTACAGCAGTTTTTTGGTGGAGTTTTCAAGGTTTCCTATATATGACGTGAGGGCATGTTATCTGCCGACAGAGACAATTTAACTTCTTCCTTTTCAATTTCGATGACTCGTATTTCTTTTTCTTGCCTAATTGCTCCGGCTACAACCTCCAGTGCTGTGTTGAATGGAAGGGGACGTCCTCGTCCTGTTCCTGGTCTTAGATGAGAAGTTTTCCGGCTTTCGCTGTTGAGTGTGATGTCAGCTGTGGGCTTGTCATTTGGGGTCTTTTATAACCCTCTCTTACCTCAAGATCATGAAGATATTCTCTTATGAATATCCTAAATACGTCTCTTTTTTTTTGGCCTTTCACATTTTTCTAGCCTCCATCTGAAACTGAGCTTTGTGCATGGTGTAAGGTGGAGTTTAAGTTTCGTTTCCTACATGGGTGTCTGTCTGCCACCGTTTATCAAGTGGAGGAAAGACTCCCCCCAGCCCCAGCCCCTACGCTGCGTCACCAGCGCAAAAGAGCACAGGACTCAGACTACATGCTCCACACAGCAGTGTGGTCGGGAGACGAGTGGCCACCCCGCAGACGTCCACACCCTAATCCCTGGCTCCTGTGAGCGTGTCACCTTGCGTGGCAAAAGGGACTTTGCTGATGTGACCAAGGATCTTGGGCTGGGAGATGGCCCGGGAGGCTCTGGGTGGGCCCCGCGCAACGACAAGAGCCCTCACGTGAGGGCGGCAGGAAGGAGACGGAGATCGCGCTGCCCACGCTGAAGACGGAGGCGGGCAGGAACCCAGGAGTGCGGTGGCCTCCAGGAGCTGGGGAAGGCGGGGAGCGGGTCCTCCCAGAGCTTCTGGAGGAGCCAGCACTGCCGACACCCAGATTTTAGCCCAGAGAACCCCATGTCGACTTCCGACCTCCAGAACTGTAAGATAGAAAATTTACGTTGTCTTAGCCCTTATATTTGTCAACAGCAGCAACAGGAAACTCATACAAACCCTCACCACAAAGCAACCAAAATACCGGCCAACTGCGATTGCAGCCTTTTTAAACGCATCACCGTAAGGACAAAAGGGAGGCGCTGCCGCCTCCAAGCGCAGCGTGTTCTCGCGACCCAGAGCCGCGGCTGGGGTCTGCCGGGCTGGCGACAGCCAGGGTGGGACGCGACTCAGCGCACAGGCCCCAGACCAATGAAGAGGGGAACGGATGAGAAAAACCAATGGACCAGTTGCCTCGACAAGGTGTTAACAGGCTAACGAAGGACAAGCACAGGTAAAAAACAGGACGAATACAAAGCACAAAGTGGGATGGTGGGACTGGTCCGTTTACATCACAAATACAGAAAAGCGGAATCTCCAACCCCACGAAGAAGGCAGATTAGACGAAAGGATGTCGGCCACCTGCCGCACACAAGCAACACCTAAACGCAGGTGCGACCCAGGTGAGCAGGCAAAGGGACTGAACAAGGTGAAACTGCCAGGTGGCGCCGACTTTCAACCGCCGGCACTGCTAGGGACGGGGACATGACGGTAACAGTCTGATTCATGAGGAAGATAAAACAGCCTCAAAATCCAGGGAGCAAAAAGGAATGGGAGGCCGGGCGCGGTGGCTCACACCTGTAATCCTAGCGCTCTGGGAGGCTGAGGCGGGCAGACTGTTTGAGCTCAAGAGTTCGAGACCAGCCTGAGCAAGAGTGAGACCCCGTCTCTACTAAAAATAGAAAGAAATTAATTGGACAACTAAAAATATATAGAAAAAATTAGCCGGGCATGGTGGCGCATGCCTGTAGTCCCAGCTACTCGGGAGGCTGAGGCAGAAGGATCGCTTGAGCCCAGGAGTTTGAGGTTGCTGTGAGCTAGGCTGACGCCACGGCACTCACTCTAGCCCAGGCAACAAAGCGAGACTCTGTCTCAAAAAAAAAAAAAAAAGGAACGGGAGCCACAAGGTGAGGCTGGTTGACCTGCCTGATGCCTGGTCTCACCACGCCCAGGTGACTGACAGGTCAGACAGTCAACAAAAGAGGGAAGACAGAGGTTTGGGACAACATAGTTAACAGTCTTGGCTTAGTGGATGCGTGGAACTCCGCGCCTGAACAGCGGAGAGCTGCAGGCTTCTCACGTCCGCGTGGAGCAATTGCACAACTGAAAAGCAAACAGCCCCGTCCGGGACCACGGGTGGTTAGTACAGAAGCTGGTTACCAAGCGATGGGCAGTTTACATCCCCACACACTTGGAGATCGGAGCACACACGGGTAAACACCTTGTGGGACTCACGGGAAATGATGTGATCATGGAAACGTCAAAACCTACCGGGATGTCACCAAAGCGGAATTCAGTAGTGTATTTTAGCTTTAAATGTTTACGTCGGAAAAGGAAAAGGGTTCGAAATGTTTGTGCTCAGTGCCTAATTCAAGAAGTGAGAGCGAGAAAGCAGATTAATCCCAGAGAAAGGCAAGGGAGGGCGCGAGGCACCAACAAACAGGACTCGGGCGGCAGAGAGGCCAGCAGGGACAAAACTGGTTGTTTGCAAAGAAAACTCATAAAATAGACACGATTTTGTCATAATGGTCAAAAAATTAATGAGGCACAAATAAGCAGTATCAGGAAGAAAAAGAAACACAAACTCTGAAGATGTCTCTGAGGTTTAAAGGATAATAGAATATTCCAGACAACTTTGCACTGATATATTTAAAAGCGTGAGCAAAATGGGCAAAGCACAAGAAAAAAACACTTTTGGACTCAAGAAGGAAAGAAAACCCCGACGGTCTCGCAGCCAGTAGCAAAGGAGAGTCACAGATGCAAAGAGAGTCACTCTCCTCCCACAGACAAGGCGTCAGTTTTGCAGTTTCCGCACT